TTCCAGCAAGCAAAGTTGTATAATCTGCATATCACAGGTTGTTAATGAGTCTTCCTCCTGTCATATTTTTCTTAAGATAATCCAGCCTTGTGAATTATTTGCTCAGCATACAGACTGAATAAGTATAACGAAAGAATACAATCCTGGTGCACAACTTTCCTAATTTTAAACCAACCATTCAGTGTTCCCTTGTTCTATTCAAACAACTACAGCTTGGCTTATGTACAGGTTCCTCATGAGCCTAACTAAGTGTTCTGGAATACTCATTCTCAGAAATTTCGTCCATAGCTTGTCATGATCCACACAATCGAAAGCCTTTGCATAGTCAATAAAGCACAAATATTCTTTATAGTATTCTCTGTTTTCAGCCAAGATCCATCTGATGTCAGCAATGGTATCTGTCTTTCCACATCCTCGTCTGAATCTGACTTGAACCTTTGGAATTTCCCTGTCAATGTTCCATCTGTTTTTGAATTCTATATAGCAAACGTTTACTTGCATGTGATAGTAGTGATATTGTCCAATGATTTCTACATTTCATTGTGTTACCTCTCTTTGCAATGGGCACAAATATGGATCTCTTCCAAACAGTTGGCCAGATAGCTGTCTTCCAAATTCCTTGGCATAAATGAGTGAGTGTCTCCAGTGCTACATCCATTTGTTGAAAGATTTCAATTTGTATTCCATCAATTCCTGGAGCCTTGTTCTTTTCCAATGTCTTCAGTGTACCTTGGACTTCTTCCTTCAGTATCTTGGGTTTTGATAATATGCTATCTCTTGAAATGGTTGAACATAACACCATTTCTTTTTGGTGCTTTGTATGTTACTTCCATCTTCTTTTGATGTTTTCTGTATCATTCAATACTTTGCCCATAGAATACTTCAATATTGTAAGTTGAGGCTTGAATTTTTTTCTTCAGTTCCCTCAGCTTGAGAAATGCTGAGCATTTTCTTTCTTTTTGGTTTTCTAAATCCCAATTTTTGCACGTTTCATTATATTTGATTTTTGTCTTCTGAAACTGACCTTTGATATTTTCTATGCAGTTCTTTTGCCTCCTCCTTTTTTCTATTTGCTTTAGAATCTCTATGCTCAAGAGCAAGTTTCATAGTCTCTGATTACATCCATCTTGATCTTTTCCTTCTTTCTTGTCTTCTTAATCATCTTTTGCTTTCATCCTGTATGATGTTCTTGATGTCATCCCACAACTCTTCAGGTCTTTGGTCATTAGTGTCTAATGCATCAAATCTTTTCTTTATATGATCTCTAAATTCTGGAGGAATATGTTCAAGGTCATGTTTTGGCTCTCATGGACTCGTTTTAATTTTCTTCAGCTTTAGCCTAAACTTGCATATGAGCGATTGATGTCCTGTTCCACAGTCTGTCATTGGCCTTGTTTTGACTAATGATATGGAGCTTTTTCTCTGTCTCTTTCCACAGATGTAGTCAATTTGATTTCTGTGTATTCCTTCTATTGAGGTCCATGGGTATATTCATCTGTTATGTTTAAAAAGGCATTTGTGATAAAGAAGTCATTGGTTTTGCAAAATTCTATCATGCTATCTCCAGCATTGTTTCTACCACCGAGGCCATATTTTCCAATTACTGATCCTTCTTTCTTTTCATTCCAATTACCAATAATTATTCCTCCTTTGCATTCTAATAATTATCCACCAATAATTATCAATACATCTCGATTGCATGTTTCATCACTATCAGACAGAAGAAGTTGATGGAATTCTTCAATTTCATCATTACTGGCTTTAGTGATTGGTTCATAAATTTGAATAATAGCTGTATTTACTGGTCTTGCTTGTAGGCAAATGGATATTGTCCTATCACAGACAGCATTATACTTCAAGATAAATCTTGAAATGATCATTTTGATGATGAATGTGACTCCATTCCTCTTCAATTTGTCATTCCTGGCATAGTAAACCATGTGATTGTCAGATTCATAATGGCCAATACCAGCCCATTTCAGTTCACTAGTGGCTAGGATAGCGATGTTTATGCATTCCATTTCATTTTTGACAACTTCCAATTTTCCTAGTTTTATACTTCATACATTCCATGTTCTTATTGTTAATGGATGTTTACAGCTGTTTCTCTTCATTTTGAGTTGTGCTGCATTAGCAAATGAAGGTCCCAAAAGCTTTACTCAACACATTCATGTCATCACAGTCAACTCTACATTGCAGTCTTCTCAGCTCTTCCCCAGTCTTATTATGAGTGCCTTCCAACCTGAGGGGCTTGTCTTCTAGCACTACATCTGACAATATGTGATGCTGTTCATCATGTTTCAATATTCAATATTCCAGCACTATCCTAGAGTGTTTCATGACTATTCAGAAGGTTTTCAGGGACTATTCGGAAGTAGTCACTCTCTCCTTCTTCTTAGTCTGTCTTAGTCCAGAAGTTCATCTGAAGCCTACCCACCATGGGTGAACCTGCTGGTATTTAAAATACTGGTGGTATAGCTTCCAGCATCATAGCAACGTTCAAGCCATCATAGTATGACAAACTGACAGATGGGTGGTCTCCTACATAGAAAGAGAATTCTACCACTGCACCATAACGCCTCTCTCCAAACAAGGGCGGATGGACAAAGTTTCAGCTCCGGAGGACGTGGCCTCTGAAAGGTGTTTGTCTGGCACATCAGTAACAAAGCCAACCCAGAGGGAAGAAAGAACCAGTGAGCTTCTTCTGGATACTCAGTAGGGGAGATCCCAACTGTTCACTGAATGTTGAGGCAGATTTCCACCTTGGCCCTATATCTAGACCTTGAGCATCCTCTAGGGTTAAGACAAACAGATCATTTTACTACATAACTCCCCAGTCCAAAATCTTCCAGGGCATACTCCCCCTTCCTCCACAGAACACAAGCACTCAAACCTCCTTAATCTGGCCCAGCCCTATCAATTTACCATCCTCCCACCAAGTTAAAACACATTCCTGGCTCCAAGGCCCATGTTTCACATATTTACTCTCCCTGGAAGACTTTGAGAATACGTAAGGGATACAAGCAGCTTATGGTTATCTTTTAGCATAAAGGTTGTTGGTCTGAACCCATCTAACAACTCTGAAGAGAAGGCTGGAGAACTGCTTCTTCTATTAAGACTGTAGCCAAGAAAACCCTATGAAGCAGTTCTGCTCTGTACTATGTGGGCTCAACATAACTAGGAATTGACTTGATAGCAATGGAATTGGTTTCGTTTTACAATTTTTGTCTCCCCGACCCCCACTGGTCTTCCTCCTATAAAGTGACCTGAGAGCTTTCTCTTTTGGGAGGCTAGCTACAGAGCATCTTAAAAACTATTACTCTCCTGCCATTGACTTGAGATTGCATTTCTGGCCACTGGAGGTGGGTCTTTTCGAAAAGCTCTCATCTTCAATCAATTGACGGTCCAAGTAAGCACAGGAATCAGGTTTTCATTGTGTTTTTTTAATGTTTTATTGTGAATTATGTGATACTTTACAAGGGAGAACATTAGCTTTACATTCATCTTATCATATATCGTTTCATTGTCATGGTTACAATCCCCTCCATGCATCATCAACCAACCAAAGGGTATACTCTGCAAGTCTGCTCCCAGTCATCAGCACACAGCCCCTCTCCCCCTCTGGGTCTAGGGTCCCCAGCCGCTCCATCTATCCACGTCATCATCTCTGTCTCCATCTCTGGAATCACTGCTTTTCTGGGTAGGGTCCCACACTCTGCTCTTCTCCCAGGAATCAGCTTTTTGCTTTTGCTCTCAAAAGGTTAAACAGGTTAGATGGCCACTGTTGTTCATTTGGTTTAAAGAATGTCTTTATTATATCTTTGCTTTCATTTTATGGAGGTGATCCAAGGTCAGCCCAGACTCGGGCTTTTAGCGATTAACTAAATGAACAATTATGACCAGGCAGAATCACCCCATATATATGCTGATAATTTGAGATATCATTTCTGATCTCCTTTTGTATTTCCAGCTGTGCCTCCAATCAACTGTGATGTCAAAGCTGGAAAGATTATTGATCCTGTGTTCATGGTGAAATGTCCAGCAGGATGCCAAGACCCCAAATATCACGTATATGGCACTGATGTATATGCATCTTACTCCAGCGTGTGTGGTGCTGCGGTCCACAGGTGGGCAACAATGAGTTACTTCATATCAGCAATCAGGGTGCAGGGTGGGGGCTCCAGGCGGAGGGTTGCCAGGTTTCACAAACAAAAGTTTGCACATTTCACTGAATATGCTATGTATTTCTGGTCCACTCTCTTGATGGAATGCCCCAGGAGCTGTGCATGGTCTGGATCCTCTTTCACAGCACTTTGGAAATGAGGATTGTCTGCTCTGTTCACCTTGACGGGGAGGGAAGGAGAAGTCTATTCTTGCATTGTCATGACAAGGAGACCCAAGTTCTCTAGTATGTAAATGTTGTATCTCTGTTGTTGTTTTCTATCTGTATGTGTTGTATGGAGAAAGGAATGTCACAGCTATGGCAGTGGTGTGGGGACAAGTGGAAGCAGGGGAAGTGATAGGCAGGTGACAGGTGGAAATGTTTGATCGGCTGTTGGTTTGAGATCCAGCAAGAGTGGTTGAAGGCATGATATGCTTTGGATTAAGTCATTGCCTACATGGAGACCAAAGTGACTTTCACAAAATCCTTGTGCCTCTTTGCCTCAGTAGGTTTGCTGTCAAAATGCTGGGAAGTGCATATTTACTTAATATCTTTGATTATAAAACTAATATTTATGTGCCTGGTACTTCACCTATGTTATCTTTATTTATTCTCACCACAATTCTCCAAGGTAGTTTTTGTGGTTGTTATGTGTCGTTCAGTCAGTTCCGACTCATAGTGACCCTGTATAGGCTTTCCAAGGAGCGGCTGATGAGTCTGAACCGCCACCCTTGAGGTTCAAACCTAACTTATAGTCATAGCTACTAATATTATCTCCGTTTTAAGGTGAAGAGAGGTTGAACAACTTTTCTAAAGTCACAGTACTAAACAGTATCAGAGTGGGAACTCAAACCCAAGTCCAGCTGATTCCAGAACCTGTGCCCCTCAGCACTGCCTTAAGACATGTCTCCCAAGTCAACATTCAGACACTAGATACAGGATAAAGTTGCTGAATGATTCTCATTTCTGCTATCTTTTTCCTTTTTCTTTACCTGCATACCGATCAGTGGATTGTTCAGTTGTACCTCTGCCAGCAAGAGAGAAGAAGGTATAAAACTCAATCCCTTTCAAAATGACTGTCAGTACCCTCTCTGAAATTTGGAGAAAAAGGAAGAAAACATATGTAGAATATGTTTGGGAATCATTAGTGATCTCTAATGACCACAGTTTTCTTCTCCCCATTGCCATAGTGGGATGATAATCGAACTGGTTTTTCATTTGGAACAGGACTACTAAAGCCCTACTAAAGATAAGTAATGGAACATTAAGAAAATCGGAAAGCAAATACTATGTCTTAACTTGAGTCTTTGGAATATAAATGTTTGTCTCAACCCTGAAATCAATTTCACGCAACAAGGAAAAAGGTATACAAATCTGCATACACATGCACAAATGCATGTGAATGCCCTTTACACGTGTGTTCACACATTCCTGTATTTTCCTAAATACTTGTACACATGTGCAAGTCCCCCACATTCTACACACACGTGTACACCCATCCACATCCACACACACCATCAACACGCTCCAATCTCTGTGGACACTCTAGATTGGAGACTGACATCTGCTTCAGAGGCTGAACCTATCTGAAGGTTGTGATTTGCAGTTACAACCTGAGATGGTAGGTATTTGCTCCCACCGGTACCTTCGGGCTCTCCCTTGTCTTTCCATGTCTCCTATGCAATACAGAGCCACACAAAGGAATTCATCTTGTCAACGATGTCACCATAATGGCAGTAACCACTCACATTGTGATTCTCTCCTTCCAGCATGTTCACAACCATATTTCTGATGGTGTCATTGTTGTTGTTGTTAAGTGCCACTAAGTTGGTTCCGACCCATAACAACTGAGGAGAAGCTGGTGAGCTTGAACTCTGAACTCTGCAGATCAAAGCAACTTTGCAGTCCAGTACATTAACCCACAGTGCCACATCAGGACTCCCCATTGCTGACAGTGTCCCCATTTGTTAGAAGGGAAACTGTGGCACAAATTAAGAATATATTTCAATTTCTAATTAGTTGCACAACTGTGATTAGAACTCATATCCTACCTCCACCCTGGAGTCCAAGTGGCACATTTACATAAAAACTTTAGAGCCCCGGAACTGCTCAGAGTACTAAGCAAGCATGAGCTGCAAGGTAGACTTTGAAGCAGTCAGGATTGGGAAAGGTCCCATGATACACAGATACATCCCTGAGGAGAAAAATCAGAAGACGGCACTCTGCAGTCCAATGTTGAAGTAGAGGAAAAAGAGAGGAGAGTAAAGGAACAGAAGAGAAAAATGTGAGTGTTTCAACAACAAAATTTGCTACTTGGGTAATTGAAAGTCATTGTCACTTCCTGAACCACTGAATAATATAGTAGGAAACACTATCTGGAAAGTGTTTCTACTATTCAAGGTGAGGATGATAAAGAAGTTTTAAAAGGAACTAGATGAGAATTTTGGATGCTATCAGTCTGTTTTCAGAAAGCAGAATTTAAAATGCCCAAGGAGGATAAGAAGCATAAGTTGAAAGCACCTAAAGTAGCTACACACCTTGTCCTGAGCCCCCTCAGTCAGACCTGGGGACTGGAGAGCACACACTTTACTTAGAAATTTAGATTACTGCAGACTAAAGGATTTGATATTCATACAACATACCATGCAGAGATATCTTATAATGGGTGGTTCCTTTGATTCTTCTCAACCAAAGGGAAAATGAACATATTTGAAGGATCATATTTTAATTCAATATCATAACAAGGTCAGGGGCCAACTGCAGAATAGAACAGAAGTTGCTTGTATACTGGTATGGCACTGTGGGTTAATGAACTGGACTGCAGTCATTTTGAATACCAGCCACTCCTCGGAAACCAAACATAGAGTCATTATGAGTTGATACCAACTCAGTAGTACTTACCAACAATAGCAAAATTCAATCTGTATACAAGAAACTGGACTATATATAAAGCAGAATGAGGCATCATCAAAATTAGAGGAAGAGTCATTAACAACCTGTGATCTAAAAAATGACACCTCCTCACTTGCTGAAATTAAAAAAGACTTGAAGCACTTACTAATGAGTTTCTAAGATTGTAAACTTCAGTGCAGATTACACCTCAAATAAAGAAAACAAAAATATTCACAACCAGACCAGTATTCAACATCATGATAAATAGAGGAAATATTGAAGTTGTCAGAGATTTCATTTTACTGGAATCCACAATCAATGCTCGTGGAAGCACAGTCAAGAAATCAAATGATGTACTGCACTAGACAAATTTATGGCATATGATAATTTTTAGGTGTTAAAATATGACTAAGGTGTACCTGATCCAAGCGATGATATCGTCAATCACCTCATGTGCATGTGAAAGCTGGACAATGAATAAGGAAGACTGAAGAAGAATTTATGCCTTTAAATTATGGTATTGTGGAAGAATATTGACTTTAAATAATGATATTGTGGAAGAATATTGACTATACTATGGACTGCCAAAGAACAAACAAATCTGTCTTGAAAGAAGTACAGACAGAATGCCCCTCATCTGTGAAGATGGCAAGACTTCATCTCATGTACTTTGGACATATTATCAGGAAGAACCATGCCCTAGAGAAGGGCATCATGCTTGATAAAGTAGTAGGTCAGTGAAAAAGAGGAAGACCCACCAACAAAATGGGCTGAGTCAGTGGCAGCAAGAATGAGCTCAAACATAGCAATGATTGTGAGGATGACGTAGGACTGGTCTGTGTTTAGTTCTGACATACATACAGTCGCTATGAGTTGGAACTGACTAAAGGGCATCTAACAAACAGATTCTGGTCCAGTCTTATCCTCAGCTGATCCCTGTATTTAAAGTGGAACAAAGTGCCAGGTAGAGAGGGGCTTTGTCTGAGACAGTGCAAGAGTTACAGAGCAGTCTTGTGGCTAATTTCTGACCAGATGGCCTCCCTCAAAAATGCAGCCATTCAGAGCCTGCTTAGTGGTGGGCAGTCTGTTCTCTGAGCTGAGACACTGACCTTGTGATCATCCCAGTCCCTGGTGCCATGTCAGGGAGGAGGTGATTATCAAGGCCACATTAAGCATTGTGCAGAGTGCTCCATAGGATAATCACTCAACCTCAAGTTCCATTTGAACCGCAAGGTTAGTGGTTCACACTCCCCAGTCGCTCCCAGAAACCCTATACAGGGTTGCTAAGAGTCGGAACCAACTCTACGACACTTAACACCAACAAGGTGCTTCAAGGAATGTGAAAAAAAAAAAAAATGAAACTTTTGTAAAATAAAAATGGAAAAGAAAGAAATGGAGCTGTTTTTGTTCTATCAGGATACATATGAAGTACCTAAGTCTGGTTGAGAGACAAATGAGATCACATTTACATAAATTCCCCATGTCCCCAAGGCTCCGAGCCCCTGCCTGTCAGATGAATAGAACCACGGTCTCTCAGGCTTTCTCCGTTCTCCAGCATCTTCTAAGGTGTTCTCAAATGAGAGTCTTCCATGCACTCCATCTCCTGTAGTTCACTGTCCCCTGACCTCTCCAGTCCCTGCTCTCCTTAAGGATGATGTATCGGGAGGTCCATATCCTCCAGTCAAATCCACCCACAAAATGGGAATTCACTTTCTGATGCAACAGAAAAATCTCATGAAAACACCATAGGTCTACATCTATCCACTTCTCAAAGTCCACAATCCTTACAGGAGGTACCAGCAGCCCAGTCCAGATCGAGAGTTCTAAGGACACCCTCACCCCACCCCCCATTCCCCTTAAGAAGCCTGAGAGTTACCCAGCAAGGCCTGCACCTCTCCATTCTGAGTGGCAGCTAGTATCTCTTGTTGAATGATGCAGGAAGCATCAAAAGATGATGAAAGAAATACACAGAGTCACCGTACCAAAAAGAATTGGTTGATGTTAACCAATTCAAGAAGTAGCGTATGATCAAAAACTGATGTTTTTCGAGGAAGAAGTCCAAATTGCAGTGAAGGTACTGGCAAAAAACAAGACTCCAGAAATTTATGGAATACAAATTGAAATGTTTCAACAAACTGACAAAACACTCACTCATCTATGCCAATTAATTTGGAAGACAGCTACCTGGCCAACTATTTGAAAGAGATCCATGTTTGTGCCCATTCCAAAGAAAGGTGATCCAACAGAATATGGAAACCATTGAACAATATCATTAATATCACATGGAAGTAAATTTTAGCTCAAGATAATTGAAATGTTGCAGTAGCCCATCAACAGGGACCTACCAAAAATTCAAGCCAGATTTTGATAAGAATATGGAACAAGGGATAGCATGGATGATTTCCAATGGATCTTGGCTGAAAAAGAAAATACCAGAAAGATGCTTACTTGTGCTTTAATGAACCTGCAAAGACATTTGACTCCTTGGATCATAACAAAGTATAGATAACATTGCAAAGAATGAGAATTCCGTAACACTTAATTGTGCTCATGAGGAATCTGTACACAGACCAAGAGGTACTTGTTAGAACAGAACAAAAGTTTAAAATCAAGAAAAGTGTACATCAGGGTTGTATCCTTTCACCATACTTATTCAATCTGTATGCTGAACAAATAATCCAAAAAGCTGGATTAAAGGGGCATCACGGTTGAAGGAAGAGTCACTAACAACCTGCGATTTGTAGATTACACAAACTTGCTTGCTGAAAGTGGAGAGAACTTGAAGTAGTTACTAATGAAGATCAAAGACTATAGCCTTTAGTATGGATTGCACCTCAATGCAAAGAAAATGAAAATCCTCCCAACTGGCTCAGTAAATAACATCATGATAAATGGAGAAAAGATTGACATGTCCAAAGACTTCATTTTGCTTAGCTCCACCATCAACACCCAGGAAAGAAGCAGTAAAGAAATCAAACAATGTATTGTATTAGGTAAATCTGCAGCATAAAACATCTTTAAAGTGTTAAAAAGCAAAGATGACACTTTGAGGACTCAAGTGCACCGGACCCAAACCATGGTATTTTCAATCACCTCATATGCATGTGAAAGTTGTAGTATTAATAAGTAAGACCAGAGGAGAATCAATGCATTTGAACTGTGCTGTTGGCAAAGAATATAGAAAATACCTTGGGCTGCCAGAAAAATTTTAAAAAGCGTTGAAAGTGAGGACGGCGGAGAGGAAGATCCTCAACAAAATGGACTGACATAGTGGCAACAGCAATGGGTTCAAGCGTAACAATTGTGAAGATGATACAATGTTTCATTCTGTTGTAGGTAGGGTCGCTATGAATCAGAATGAACTTAACACCCAACAACAACACAGTGTGTCTGTCTTTGATTCTTAAGCAAGAGTAGCACTCATGCACACATGCATACAAACACATCTTCACAAGTGTAGTTTATAGGTCCACGGGAATATAAATGCAATGGCAGAATAATTTCCCTGGGGACAAGGAAAGGGTAAGAGTTGCCTCCATTTTCCCCACTAATTGAAAGTAAAGGAGGCCTGGAGTAATTTTTTTTTTTTTTTAATTAGAATGTTTGACCTAGGCCAGTGGTATACTTGTATATGTTTAACGACTAGCTCTCTAAAAAGGAGGGGCAGCGGATCCTGATTTGCCACCATCTGGGGTATAAATACTCAACCAATTTGAATCTATAGATGTGAAATCAACTGCTTGCACACTTCTAAAAGTTTAACCACTGAGTCTGGCAAGCTGGTCCCAGCAGCTCCCCCACACCATTGGAAAGTCTTTATATACTAAAGCATAAACTATTGTCCTTTCTATGAGAAAATTCTCCATCAACTGGGAGACAATTAACTCAAGAAGCCTTTAGGAAAGAGTACAAGATGAGCAAAATCAGTGTTCCTTTGTGAGAAGAGGATTCTCCAGCCTTCAAGAGGAAAGTGACAGAGAGCTGGCAGAGTATCAGTGGGAAGGAGATGCTGGAATCTGAGCTCCACTCACAGACGCAGACAGCACAGGCCCCTCAGGTAGGAGTGGGAGCCAGGTTCTCCAGGGTGGCGAGCAGCACAGGCAGAAAGACATGTGAATGAGAAGAGTGGTCTCTGGCAAGGGAGTGGGACCAGGCTGACAGCAGTTGGGAAAAGTGCAGGTAAGCAGACTGAGGAGAGCCTGCACTGGAGAAAGGGCAGAGTTGTAAAGACTGGATGAAGTAATGAGGAGTTGATATCAGAGGTGCCTGAGCTTTAGAACCCTGAGAGACAGCTGTGACCAAGACGGACAAACCTAAGATTCAAGGTCAGTTTGACCTGGGTTCTAATTCCTGCCATGCAATTTATTAACTATAAAGTCCTGAGTGAATCACTCAATCTCGCTCAAACGGTTTCTATGAAATAGGAATAACATTAAATTATTCCACCCATAACTCCGGTTTGCTGGGAGGCCCCTCTCAAAATACTGTAAGTGTAAATGATTTTAAAGCTATTAAGTGTTTCATACGTCAATTCTTATTATCACTGTCTTTCCTTCTGGGTCATTGGGAAGTTGAGTGTTGAGTTTGTGGATTCAGCATGAGGGTGGAAGGGTGAGAAATAGCAACTCTCATTTGGGGAGAGGGGATGAAAAGACAGGGAGGTGTTGATACATTTTTAGCCTCTGAGCCATAAATTAGAGGCACAAAGGAGCCTTTTCACGCTCTGAGGTAATAAAATGATAAATGAAAATGATATTTAGGAACCAGAAAGGAGTCCCTAACTAACAGAGAGGAAGGTTATTGTTTTTGTTGTGAAGTACTGTTGTGTCGGTTCCGACCCATAACAACCCTGTATAGGGTTTCCAAAGGGCAACTGGTGAGCTTGAACCACCGACCTTGTGGTTCAAACTGCCTTTGCAGTCCAGCACATTAACCTACAGCACCACACCAGGACTCCATAGAGGAAGGTGGTGGTTATATGCCGTGGAGTGGGTTCCAACTCAAAGTGACCCTGCATAGGGTTTCTGAGGCTGTAACTATTTACCAACAAAGAAAAACCTCATCTTTCTCCCACCGAATGACTGGTAGTTTTGAACTGCTGACCTTGAGGTTAGCAGCCCAACTCATAACCACTATTCTGCCAGAGCTCCTTAATGTAGAGGAAAAGAGTCAGAGACATCTCTTCAGGATATATCACATCAGCATGTGAAACCTTGTAAAATGGTGGCTATTAAAGAAACAATTTCCATTCTTTGGGAGACTCTTTTTAGTGAGTTCAATTTAGCAATACACTTTCCCTCCTCAGCTCCAAATAAAAGGAATCAAACTACTTTTTAAATAATATTTTCATACCACTCTTTGAAATACCTGGAGTCATTGAATGACTTCAGAAAACCAAATTGGAAATAGTCAAGAGAATGATTTTTCTTAAAGGAACAAGTGGGAATTCCTAAAAACGTTAAGCACAGATTTACCATCATTGCTGTTAAGTGCTGTCAAGTCAGTTAGGACTCATAGCAACCCTGTATGGAGTTTCCAAGGTTGTGAATCGTTGTGAAAACAGAAAGCCTCATCTTTCTCCTGCCAAGTGGCTTGTGGGCTTGAACTGCCAACCTTAGGTTCATAGTTCAGGACTTACCCTGCAAGACCCAGCAATTCCACTCCTAGGTATGTACCCAAAAGACTGAAATTGGGGACTCAAACAGAAACATGCACACCAATGTTCACTGCAATACTATTCACAATAGTAAAAATGTGGAAACAACCCAAATGTCTACCTACAAATAAATGGGTAAATAAAATGTGATATCTCATAAAATTATTTTGCCATAAAGAGAAATGAAGTCCTGATGCATGCTATGATAGGGATGAATTTTGAAAACATGCTGAGTGAAATAAGTCAAACACAAAAGGACAAAAACTATATGATTCCATCGATAAGAAATATCCAGAACAGACACGTTATATCTAGTAAAGTTTATGAGTGGTCACCAGGGCAGATTTGTTGTTACTATTGTTAAGTGCCATCAAGTCGGCTCTGACCCATAGCGACCCTGTATAGGATTTCCAAGGAGAAACTGGTGAGCTTGAACCACCGACCTTGTGATTCAAATGACTTTGCAATCCAGTGCATTAGCCCACAGCGCCACACCAGAACTCCACCAGGGCAGATCAGAGGGGGAAATGGAGGGCTATTGCTTACAGAGTACTGAATTTCTGCTAAGGGTAATACAAAATTTTAGAAACAGATTATGTTGATTGTCAAATAACATATAGTTATTGTTGTTAAGTGCCATCAAGTCGGTTCTGACTCATAATGACCCTGTATAGGATTTCCAAAGAGCAGATGGTAAGTTTCAACTGCCAACCTTGCGGTACAGTGCTAATCTTACAGATTCACACGAGGACTCCTTAGACAACATAGTGAATATAATTAATATCACTGAATTACACAAGTCAAAATGGTTGATATGGATGCTGCTGTTGGTGGATACATTCATTACACCACAATAAAAATATTTTTTAAGCTTTTATTTTTAAATGTTTATAAATCAAAAAGGTAGTGAGGATGAAGAAACCAAAGAAAGGAAATTTGAGGCCTAGCAGCAGAGAGATTCCTGACTGGCAAAGTAATCAAGTCATTAATAAGAGAAAGGAAGTTATACCTGAGAACCCAAATGTCAGACTGTGTATGAAGCCACCTTTCTTGGGAGCTGGGCTGCGGCTATGGTGACCCTTTTCTTAATCTTGCTGTTTCTATGATCTCAAAATAAAGATGAAGGTTGGCTTGATAGCCTGCTGATCATATCAAACAATTGTTTTCTGTTCATTCTTTTAAAATTGTTTTTTTGGTTTGTTTTGTTTTTTCTCCTCACAGCGGTGTGCTTGATAATTCAGGAGGGAAAATACTTGTTCGAAAAGTTGCTGGACAGTCTGTTTATAAAGGGAGTTATTCCAATGGTGTCCAATCGTTATCCCTACCACGATGGAAAGAGTCCTTTGTCATCTCAGGTATTTCCACATTCTGGAAAAGCACAATAAATATCGTTTGGGATAAGTGGCCTCACTAGGTGAAATGTGCTCTTTTCAATGTGCTGATAGTTTTTATTTATGACCAAGTTCATTGCCTAAAAATTGGAAGCATTCGTTTTTCTGATAGGATCGTTGTTGTTAAGTGCTGTCTGGTAATTAGGATCATTGTTGCTGTTGCTAAGTGCCATGGCGTGGGTTCCGTTCGACTCATAGCGACCCAGTATAAGATTGTCAAACCCAGCTGGTGGGTTTGCTGACCCTGTGATTAGCAGTTCAGTGCTTATCCTACAGCGTCACACTAGGACTTCACAGAACAATGAATTATAGTCATCAGTGATAAATCACCACAAAATCAAACCATCCTATTCTTGAAATATGATGGGATTTCAAAAAGTTCATGGGGAAATTCCATTATCTTTCATTCCATTTTTCCCAGCGACCTCATTTGAGAGTAACTCAAAAAGTATTGCTGCTAGGATTCCAGGTCATACATGAATGGGTTTATTCCAAACAAAATACGTTTTAAACATGTCTGTGATCAGTGTATGGCTGAAGACAAGTTCTCTCAGTAATAAACTTCATCTCATTCTAGTTCCTTTAAAAAAACGTCAATCAAAACAGAGACTTCTGAGAGGATCTTGTAAGCCAGTTAAATTCAAGGCAGAGAGGTGAGCTCAGAAGGTTATGGTAACTGTTTTCTGGTTTGTTTGTTTGTTTGTTTAATAACAAAAGGATAATCTTGATAGATTTTTTTTAAAAAGCACAGGACAGTTATAGGAGCTTATCAGGAAGAAGCTTTAGGAGAAATGAAAATTGAACTGGTGAGAAAAAGGAAAGGAAAATTGGGCAGAGGACTTTTTCTGTTCATCATGACAATTCATCTACTCATTCCTCTACGGTAGTAAGTGCTGAGTTATGAGAGTTTCACTGGGAAATCTTATCCCAACCACCCTACAACCCTCATCTTGCCCATTCAGATTTCTTTTGTTACCAAAATTCAAGAGACATTTAAAAGGACTAGAGCCCTTAAAGGATGCCAAAAACTGCTGTTTTGAC